TCCTTGGGGCAACCACAACCTCCTTGGGCCATCCACAACCTCCTTGGGCCATCCACAACCTCCCTGGGGCAACCACAACCTCCTTGGGCCATCCACAACCAACTTGGGCCATCCACAACCTTCTCCTCTTCAAGCTGGACAACCCCAACTCTCTCCTAGGTGCTCCAATCCTCTGAGCAGCTTTGTGGTCCTCCTTCCTCACCTCTTCTTCCCCTCACCTTGGTGTCCACCCCAAAGCTTCTCCCTGCCCTGGAGAACCACCCACAGCCTGTCCTGGGGCCAAGGCAGCAGTCAGGACATGGCACCACCAGCAGATGCCAGGCCAGACCAGCACCAGCTGCTGTCACCTGGGTGAGGACCACATAGAGCTCCTCCAACACTGAGTGACACCACGAATGGTGGCACAACCACCCACCACATCCAGGGCAGGAGCTCACCTCGTCAGCAGCCTCCAGCTTGGAGTCAAACTGGCAGAAGATCTGCTCCAGCTCCTTCCTGATGACGTTGGCAAGAACGTTCAGGCGACCCCTGCGAGGGCAAGAGCACTGATGGCACCACTGATGGACACCTGGCACCTCCCTGACCTACCCACACCTCCTGCGATGGCTGAAGGGTCACCCAGGGCTGGGGGAACCCAGGAGGAGACTTCAGCCATGGGCTGGTTGCCACCATGTCCCACATCCCAGTTGAGCTGCTCCAGGGCAGGCACTGGATCCCAGTGGGACTGCAGCTCTGTCCTCAGGCCACCAACCCAGTCCAGACCAACCAAACCAGCTGGAAGGACCATGAGGAGCAGAGAGCTCTCCAGTTGAGGTTCCTCACCTGCCAACACCAGTTGGGTGATGGTAGAACCTCCAGGCCCAGGCCCTGGTGGCATCTCCCCCCTGCCCACCCCCTTGGCTAGGGGAGGTCACCTGTGGGGCATCCCCATGATGACATAGTCCACTCCCTTCTCGCTGGACTTGTCAATGATGGTCTTCAGGGCAGGGATGAGAACCTCACAGCCCTCCAGGCCGAATCGCTTCTCCGACGACCATTTCCGGTGCAGGAACTCCTCAAACCTGGGCAGGAGCACAGAAGCATCAGGGCAGCACCAGGGGCACAGGGCAGGAGGGGCAGGAGAGGAACAGGAGGAGAAGAGATGGAGGAGGAGGAGAAGAGGAGAAGAAGAGGAGGAAAAGAAGGAGGAGAAGAGGAGGAGAAGAGGAGGAGGAGGAGAAGAAGAGAAGGAGGAGAACAGGAGCAGGAGGAGAGAAGATGATGAGGATGAGAATAGGAGGAGAAGAGGAGAAGGAGAAGAAGAGGAATAGAAGAGGAGGAAGAAGAGAGGAGGAGAGGACAAGAAGAGCAACAGGAGGAGAAGGAAAAGAGAAGAGGAGCAGCAGGAGGAGAAGAGGAGCAGCAGGAGGAGCAGGAGTAGAAGATGAGGAGGAGCAGAAGCAGCAGCAGCAGGAGGAAGAGAAGAGGAGAAACAGGAGGAGGAGAAGAAAAAGAAGAGCAGGAGGAGGAGCAGCAAGACGAGAAGAGGAGCAGGAGGAGGAGGAGAAGAGGAGGAGCAGGAGGAGGAGAAGAGGAGGAGGAGAACAGGAGCAGGAGGAGAGAAGATGACAAGGGTGAGAATAGGAGGAGAAGAGGAGAAGGAGAAGAAGAGGAATAGAAGAGGAGGAAGAAGAGAGAAGGAGAGGACAAGAAGACAAGGATGAGAAGAAAAGAAGAGGAGGAGGAGAAGAGGAGGAGGAGAACAGGAGCAGGAGGAGAGAAGATGACAAGGGTGAGAATAGGAGGAGAAGAGGAGAAGGAGAAGAAGAGGAATAGAAGAGGAGGAAGAAGAGAGAAGGAGAGGACAAGAAGACAAGGATGAGAAGAAAAGAAGAGGAGGAGGAGAAGAGGAGGAGGAGAACAGGAGCAGGAGGAGAGAAGATGACAAGGGTGAGAATAGGAGGAGAAGAGGAGAAGGAGAAGAAGAGGAATAGAAGAGGAGGAAGAAGAGAGAAGGAGAGGACAAGAAGACAAGGATGAGAAGAAAAGAAGAGGAGGAGGAGAAGAGGAGGAGGATACAGCTGAGAGCAGGACACCAGGAGGGAGAAGGACTGCACCAGGGGAGTCACAGCACTGAGGGATGCTCGAGGAGCAGGAGAAGCAGAAGAAGAAGAGGAGGAGCAAAAGAAGGAGTAGCAGGAGGAGGAAGAGAAGAAGAGGAGGAGAAGGAGCAGGACCAGCAATGAGGAACAGTAGGAGCAGCAGGAAGAGAAGAGGAGGAGCAGAAGAAGAGGAAAAGGAGCAGGAGGAGCAGGAGAAGGAAGAGAAGGAGCAGGAGGAGAAGAGGAGGAGGAGAAAGAGGACAAGAAGACAAGGATGAGAAGAGAAGAAGAGGAGGAGGAGAAGAGGAGGAGGAGAAGAGGAGAAGCAGGAGGAGAAGAGGAGCAGCAGGAGGAGCAGGAGTAGAAGATGAGGAGGAGCAGAAGCAGCAGCCACAGGAGGAAGAGCAGAGGAGAAACTGGAGGAGGAGAAGAAAAAGAAGAGGAGCAGGAGCAGGAGCAGCAGGATGAGAAGAGGAGCAGGAGGATGAGGAGAAGAGGAGGAGCAGGAGGAGAAGAGGAGGAGCAAGAGGAGAAGAGCAACAGGAGGAGGAGGAAAAGAGAAGAGGAGCAGCAGCAGGAGAAGAGGAGCAGCAGGAGGAGAAGAGGAGGAGGAGAAGAGGAGCAGGAGGAGAAGAGGAGCAGGAGGAGAAGAGGAGCAGGAGGAGAAGAGGAGCAGGAGGAGAAGGAGGAGAAGAGGAGGAGGAGGAGGAGAAGAGGAGCAGCAGGAGGAGGAGGAGAGGAGGAGGGGGAGGAGAGC